TTCCTAAACAGTTCCATAATGAAATAAAAAGTGGTCATTTGTAAAAGCACTAGATTTGGAGGAGACAAAATGAATTACAGAGTTTTCAAAGTGAACATTCTAAAATGAGTTTATTAGTAGCTACCCTGAAACCAGATGACTTCAAACTGTTTAAAAACCACCCCTAATGCTGGCAAAAGACTTAACCATTTCAATGAATCCTTTTACTATACTCTGCATTTAAGATTTCCATCATAGCATAACTTTTCAATAAATTATCATTTAAAGTTTTAAATGAATTCTTTTGCCTTTATGCCTGTGACACATAGATGTATTTCTAGGGTTTTCTTTCTTTCTATTCCAAATTAACATTAAAAAATATATAATGAACCTGATATTCTATTGCAATTAAACAGTAGTCCTGTCAACTCTGCAAACAAGATGTCCAAATTAAAAAGATAAAGTGCCAACCCTTAAATGTGTTTGAGTCAGTGTTGACTTTAGAACTCAGAACCTCTCAATCCTGGATGTGGAAGATAATTCGATGTTAATGGTTTGATGTTAATTTCTCACATATATAACACAGTTGTTGCTGCTACATGGAGCACAGGCTCTTTATAACAAATACCCTACAGATCTTTAATTGGTAGTTAGGAAACATGCTTTTCCTAATCATCGAGTCTCTTTTAAATATTATATTTTTAAATACCCTTTTAGGGAAACTAATGAGGTAAAGATATGAGTGGGATAAAGAAGGTATGTTGTTTTCAAAATTAAAAATTTCAGGACATCAGTCCAGCAGGCATAAAACAACATAAAACAAATAACTGGATAATCAAACAATAAAAGCAAACTAGAAATAATATGAAGGCTTTTTTAGAAACTATTATTGCACATATGCAATAATTACTTCCATCAAGACTTTTATTATACATTTGTTTTTATGGAATCATAATGCACAAGTACATGCTATTGTTTAAACACATTCACCACATACCCCATAACAGAATATGATGACAATATGTATTAAGGATAATACAGAAAATGTGGCTAAATGCATTCTGTATTATGGTTCCATAATACAGCATGCAAATGGTTCTGACTAAGCAGACACAGGAGACAGTCGTTAGTGCGCACGCTGTGAATGTATATTATGAATAATGCATAAAACTTGGCTAAATCCTAATGAGTCCATTGACATCCTATGGGGTCCAAAGGAGGCTCAGATCCCAAAGCATGGCCCTGGCACATTTCTATCCACCAATCATTGTAAAAAAACAATACCATGAAAACAAAGGGCATTAAACAACATGAATGCACTGTCATTCTAGGTAAAGCTTTTGAAATAAGCACAAAAATTAGGAGAAACTTTGAAAGGAGAACTAAAGTCCATCTTACATCATCACCCCACTTACAATTTTTCAAAATTATCTATTGCAATTTAAATGGGACAAAAGCTGCAGTTGCAGGTTTGATGTTATTTCTTTTCTCTGGTTTTCTTCGGGGAGCTGCTATTACAAGGAAGATCTAAGCAATCCCTAAGAAAAGTGGCCAAACTCTTAGACCACGGTGGAAGAAAGTCTTCCTGCTTTGAATGAGTAATGCTTACAAAATGCATTACAGCCAATTAAATAAGGAAATAGAGATAATGCATCTGAAAGCAGTCTTTATTGTAGAAACTCCTGAAAATTCTAGTTTTTACACAGCTTTTTAAAGAATCAAAAAGAATGCCATGGGCATGTCACTTGCAGCACATTAAAAAAAAAATCTGTGCCCCCCCACCCCAATGGCCATTAAATACTCTTAACAATGGAGTCCTTGAAAAGAGGAACCATGGCTATTATCCCTAGATGGGTGTGCCCCAAGATGAACACCTATATGAACATGCTCAATGCGTTCACTGAGCCAAAAATGCAGAGCCGAGCAAGCTGTGCTTGAGATGCACAAATTAAGGATGTGACAGAAGCCTGTGCATCCCAGCCTTCCTTGGAAAGGGAAGGCAAAGGACAGCTGCTCCTTGGCGGTGCCCCCAGGGGTGGGTGGGGAATGGGCACTCTGGAAACACATCCCCAGAGAACAGGGGAGAGACCAGGGCTGGCCCCTCCGGGAAGCAGAAGGCCAAGAAAAACCCTGCACTCTCCGAAAACACGCAAGAGCAAAGGGCAGGAGTGAAAGTTCTGGGGATGGAGCCCTGGACAACTTGCCTGGCTCCCTGAGGTTTTCCCACCCACTCACCAGGTATAGAAACCAGGCAGAGTCAGGGCAAAGGCCGAAGTAGGAAGTTGCCATGGAACCCAAAGTGTGGAAATACAGGAACTCCTCCATCACCGAACTGTAAAACTAAAACACAGGTCACTTACCAGCCCATATTTGGGCTCAGATCAGCTCCGGGCCTGGTTCTAATGGTAATTCAGTGTACACGGTATGAAGTGAGGGCTCCCTGGAAGACCCCTTCTGCAAAACAATATTGCTGTATTTTCCCATCCCTAACTACCAGAAGAGCCAGAAATTCTAAGTCTAGTAAATGTTTATGAAAAACAACCCTTCATACATTTCTATTTAAAGTACAAATACTCCTGGGTATAGTTAAGTTAAAAAAAAAAAAATGTAGGATACATTTGTGTTTGCTTTCTTTTGTGAAAAGAACCAGGACAATGAAGAAGCCCAGCATGTCTAGGGTAGATACTGGGTGATTTAAAAACGGTTAAAGACGGGACACACTGAGAGATTAATTTTGCTCGCTTTTCCGATAGGACTGTCTCTGGCACAACCAAGGATTCTGTGATGAGGAATTAAGACTCTCAACGGACTCTTAAAGTTTAAAACTTCCCCGGCACTATCTTATTATGTTTGTATTTACACCTGGGTAAGCGCTGTCACTGTTGCTAGAGCATGAAGTATGAAAATCATACAGAAAAATAAGGTATCTGTTGTGACCACTTGTTCTGTTTTCCCTGTTCTAAAATTTGCCTCGTAGCAAGTGCAACAGAACACAATTCTGTTCCTGATAGAACCATTCCTTAAAGCTAGTCTGCTTTTGAAAACCATTCTCCACCAGGGCCTGTCCCAGCTCCTCTATAAGCGGCTGACAATTGCTTCACTCCCCCAAGTGTTTCTTCACCCCTCCCAGATGCCACCAAAAGAAAAACAGAAAGTCTCTCAGTAGCACTTTGCTTCGCAGCAGGAAGCTGTACTGTTTGTGATATCCATTTTGATACAAACCTAAATTAGGCCTCTGGAAATAGGTAATGCATAAAAAGAAGCGTTTTGTGTCACCAAATTATTATTATAGGTTACTGTTAACCCTTGGAAGATAGAGGTGAGCTCTGCAGCTCCCCACTGAGGTGACGATTTGTCATGAAATCACAGGCCCTACCTCGAAAGATGGTTCAGGTGAGCTTGCGATAAGGCAAACTATCCGGTTGACCTATAGGATTCTGATAGCTAGTTTAAGCGGGGGAAGCTACAAGAAATACCAGTTAAACAAAAGGATCAGCACAGCATGTGGAGCCAGCAGTCGGCTAGCACAAGTTTTACAGCTGACAGAGCCTAGGGATGTAGGGAAACGAAAACGGCTCAGGATGTTTTACTATCAGACAGACTTAAGACTCTTCAAAAGCTCTCCTTGCAAAGACATGTTGAGGGGCAAAAGTTCAGAGCCACGGCTATTTTTTTAAAGGTCACTTGTGATAAAACTGGTAACTAGTCCTGTTGAGATAATAAATTGGAAAATTGAATACCCTGACGCTTCTATTTCTTCAGATAGCCCAGATGGTAAATAAATTTTGTTTTTGAAATTCCTTGCACAAAAATTTCAGTTTCTGGTCCATAACTGAGATTCAGAGAAATCTAAGAACTGACCCTAAAACTATCCCGGCGTCTCAATCCTAACTCCAAGTTCTTGAAAACATGTGGCATTGTACCTTTTCTAGTTTAATCTTTGTAATATTTGATTCTCTCTTACTCTTCTTTCTTCATCACTACCTTAAAACAAGCAGCATTCACAATGTTAATAATTATAAACATAACTGAATTCCAGAATTCAGTCGAAGACCGCTTTCTATGAACCTGTATGTAACCTGATGGAAACACATCGAACACACATGACCTCTTCTCGTCTTTCAGTCCACCTCGGATCACATGCCGATTAAAAAATGTACAGGAGTCATTATGTCATATGATAATAACTCGGCTTTCCCTTCTTCCACAAGCATTCTCATTCCGTGTTTTGGTAAAAATTATCACATGTGCCTGGCTTATCTCATTAAAATAAACAGACACGACTGAGTTCATATCTCTTGAGACACAGTAAACACAATGCAAAATGTAATTCCTCAAATTGGAATAACTGATATCTACTGAATAAATAACTGAATAATTAAAGCTTCTTCAGAGTGAGAGTCATAAGTTTATGTAGAAGAGCAACAGAATTATTCTGCGACTGGTATCATGGAAAAAAAATAGCTAATAAGAACAACCAAAGTTTTATAAGGAGTTCAGTAGACTGTGGCCACCAGCCAAATTTCATAGCTGCACCACAGCTTTAGCGGAGTTGCTAAATTTGAAGGCAGAGTAAATGTTCTTCTCCCCTTTCCTAGACACAACCCATAAAATAATAGGTTCTCTTTAATGTCTAAGAATGTTGTTTAGGTCTCATTCAAGTCAACAACAAGAGCTTCAGTCTCAGAAAAAGCCTAGGCAATCGCCTTAAGCTGCAGTATGTAACACTTAAACAGCAAAAGTCCTGGAATCACTTGCTTCAGAGTGAGGCCATCACAGGATCCCGGTACAATTTCATTCAAGGAATTCCGACTAGCTAATTGCTTGGCATCCTCAGGATCTCTAGGTATCATCTGAATTCCAGCTACTGAAATTAAATCTCCTATGTTTCCATTTTCTAAAATAATTCCTCCATTCAAATATCCAAGAGCATTACATCTGGTCATAGTTAAAGCACCTTGCTGTTGACAAGGCACTTTCTTGAAAGTTTCTGCAGGCTATGTGTCACACACCGTGCTTACCTGGGCGGTCCATTCCCTGGGAAGTCGCTTTTCCTGCAGCCTCCTCCTTAAAAATATTCCTACACCCATGCTGATTTTGTATCTGTTCAGTTCAAATTTAGATTCATTGGTACTTTTCCATAGTTACATTTCTTGCTCAGTTGATATGTCCTTTTATTTATTCTGAAGTTTTCGATGTAAGACAAACAGGAATACCACCTTCTAAAATTACTACTATCCTACCATCCTCTGATGGAACATTAGTGGGAAGCAATATTCTCCAAAGCTATGAAGCATACACTGCCCTAAATTACATTGCAGTCGCTGCCCTGAGCTCACACATTTTTGAATAGAAAGGCTCCCAGGGATCTCTCTGTACTGACTGCATTTACTGCTTTAAAATATTTTTAACCCAGACGCTGAAGTGCCAGCCTTGCAGTTCCTCATGCTAATCCCAGCTTGGGTGGCTGTTCTTAAGGGAAAGCATTCAAAACATTGTAACAGTGCATCAACTTTGACCCTTTTCACTTAAACATGAGACTCTTAAAAAAAGTTTGAATTCCAGAGGGAATCACTGAACTTTGACCTGCTTAAAATTAGTTTTGTTTTAGTGCCTTCATGGTGACTCAACAGGCCAATTTTCCAGACACTTAAGACGTTTCTGCCCCTGAAGATTCCAGTTTAAGTCCACAGCTATGTTTGCTGGTCAGATCAGAACACTTTGTCCCAGGGTTTCAAGCAACAAATTCCCAGATCTCCATCTCTTTGCCAGATGTTGGCATTAGTTGGTATTAAGCTGGATCTAAACACACACACACACACACACACACACACACACACACACACAACACAACACATTCAGAGGAGAGGCTCTATTTTTCTTTTCTTGCCACATACAGTCTTTTAGGAAACAAAGTTTTCCACTCAAAATTCGGTCATGGAGAAATGTTTATCAGGATTATATAAACATTACTTACTAGCCTAACTCCTACAAGAATAAAACTCCTAACTTTTGGTAAGCAGTACTATGATACATTTATAATACAAGCTTTCTGAATCTACTTTTCTTAATGGGGAACAAAAAGGTACTCGGGTTTTATTTCTAATCTGTTACAGATTTTTTAAATTGTCAGTGAATAATTATATTGCAAATGGACCCTGACACAATATTATACTTTCCTCCAATGGAATTTCAAAAACAACATTTGTTGTGAAAAAATCCATGACAATTAATAGGTAAAATAAAGTTACCAAAGAACTAAAGGTATAGATATAGCACAATTCATTCAGTTTCATTTAATACCTCAAAACTGCTCCCCCTTTTAGGTAAACTTGCTTTTTTGCAAAAATAAAACAGCACCCAATTTCATTAATACAGTCTAAGATGTTTAATAAAAAGGAAGTAATTATTAGTCTAGAACAATTCTTGCATAAACTCTGTGCTTTAAATTTTTTAGAACAGTCGGGGATAAAGGCATTCAGGAAAAGAAAACCCATTTAGTACTACGAGATCAGAAAAAAAAAAAAAAGAAAAAGAAAGAAATGTTAACACAGTTAGTTAGCCAGGAAAAAAGAATCAGTATAACACAAATCAGTCTACAAAACTTACATACCATGTTAAACAAGAAGACTTTATTGTCTCCAGGAGTTGAGTTAGCTATACTGGAAAGCAACACAAAAGTGCATACGAGACCATATTTGAACGCTGCTTTGCACTTAAATCTATCAATTTTCAAAGAGCAACCGATGACATTCTTGAAATACAGGCATTTGATTCCTATTGTCAATGCCCAAAGCTGGAAATCAGAAGCTACAGGGTACAGTGTCACAAAAACTGATCACAGAAGAATTTGTTTTCTCTCCTATTAAGCAGCACTAATTCCAATGCTAATACTCAGAAAATAAAAACTACTCAACTGAGTCTCTCTGGCAATTATTTCTTTCATTTCCTACCCATTTAAGAAAGAACACAATAAGGATGTTCAGGGGTGCCTGAGTGGCTCAGTCAGTTAAGCGTCCAACTTCAGCTCAAGTCATGATCTCGCGGTCCAGGAGTTTGAGCTCCGCATCGAGCTCTATGCTGAAAGCTCAGAGCCTGGAGCCTGCTTTGGATTCTGTGTCTCCCCATCTCTCTCTCTGCCCCTCCCCCGCTCACTTTCTTGCTCTTGCTCACTCTCTTTCTCTCTCTCTCCCTCTCAAAAATGAAATAAACATTTAAAAAATGGTTTTTAAAAAGATGGTCAAATTGGGGTAAATGGTGAATGTTTTGGATATGTACATTACTGCTTCATTTTTATTTTATTCATAAATCATTCAACACATAACATTGTGAGTGGTAATGAATGGCCACAGATTTCTTAAATTAAGAAAATATTTTGAATTCAATTATTTTACATTTCAAGCACATGTAACTGGGTTCTTTACTGATGGCTAAGAAAACAAGCACTAATAGTTTTAAAAATTGAGTCAATTACTTATGTGAAGAGGTCAACTAAAATGAAAATTTCAAATGCTAGCAAATAGTACCTCCAATGACATGAAAATAAGTATGAATTATGTAAGATGCTAATGAAAATACATATATTTATAGATAAGACAGTGAATGGTAGTATTTAAATAAAATTATACAGAGACATTCCCATGTAAGGACCATTATCTGAAGAATCTGCCAACAAAGGATTAGCACTGTAGTTGCTTAATCCTTTAATTGTCTTAATAATAAAATATGCTACTAATTGTATAAGGTATTTTGGCCCTGCATTCCAAAAGACATATTTACATTTTTCTCTGTATACGTTGTAAAAGCTAATATACTGTGTCATTAAAAAGTAATGTGACTGGTTTTCATACAAACATACCATCTCATCCACATGCTTTCCTTTCACAGTGGTCCCCTTAGAACACGATTCCCTTACCCTACAGATCAGCCATCAGTCACAGTATTTCTACCACCTTCTGAAAGTGCTTTCTAAGTCTGGAACACACACACGCGCGCACACACTTCTAAATATCCTCAATGGTGACAAATTTCATAATTTGAAAGTCAATTTTAGCCGTTTTCATCATTTCAGGGAGACATTTATAGCCAACTCTGGTGAATAAAAAAAAGGATGATGAATCTTGGTATAAAATACGAATAGAAAGTAATGAGATGGATGTTTTAGTCAGGCTTGCAAATGATTCAAAAGACAATTCTGAGAGGAAGTTTTCCAAAATGTTTTGAACAAGGGCATCATTGAAATCAGGGTATTGCTTCTCTGGGTGACAGTCTTGAAAAACAACATTAATATGAATGCATAAGTGATAGCACAATTGTTTTTAAAAATCAAACTTGGTACTTTTCACTCATACTCTGCATATATGAAATAAGCAGATATGCATTTTCATCTAGATGGTCATATATGTACATTCTGAAGCTTCCTCTGGGTAAAACGAACCAGAGGTTGATTTGCAAAATAATATATACAACATAAACTTAACTCTTGATCGTGCAAAAGAAAAAAAAACTTTATTTCCATAGTCACATATTTACATCCATCCACAATCTGTAGGCTTCTATAAACTTTTTTCTCTCCTATATACAGTCAAAATCTAACAAGAGCTCGCTGTGGGGTTATGCATAAAAACTGCAAATTTAAACAAGGTGCGATCGTATACTTTTTCACACATTATTGTATCATGCTGCACCAGAACACTAATGTATGCACAGTTCCAAAATAGCTTGGGCTATTACTGCACAGGCTTGAAAACTACTAAATCCCAATAAGAGCACATTTCAAAAACTGTTCCTTCATTATTGCACGCTAGTAAAGGTTGCTTTCGCTATTTATATTTTACAAAAGAAAAAATGCAGAAATGTCTATGACATTGCCTCATAATTCTGAGGTCTTACTTATTAGACTCTTTGTAGTTATAAAAGTTGTTTCATCGATATAAATATGACAATTGGACTCAATACTATTTAATCGACTCAATTATGGAACAAGTGTGCTTTTTTCCTTATGCTGCCCTACTTTCTTTTAAGTTGCATTTGAATTATTGATGAAGTTGCAATAAAGCATTTCTTTGTTATACATAGTTTAGAAGTAGAGAATGATGTTTCACGGTTAATTTTTAGACTGATAGTGATAAAATAAACACACTTGTCCTTTCAAAGAAAGTCAATAGCATGGTACAAGCTTAAAAGATTGACTTTTCCTTTTTTTCTACTGTCTTGAAAATATGTTGGGCAGAAATCATGAATATAAATACAAATATAAAAGGAGAAGATAGTGAGCAATGTGCACTATAGAAAATACAAGTAGGGTCTTCCTGGGTATTGAAAAGATTTACACCTGTGATAAATTTAGGTTCTGTTATTCCTCAAGTATTCAGAGGACTTTAGTTATGTGGCAGGATGAGGAACCCAAAAATGGCAGAATGAATAGTTTTGGGGACAGGGACATTTCTTATTTAGACTACCTAATCATTGCACAACTGATGCCACTTCCACTCCGTTTTCCAAACAGTCAGAATGATCTTTTTAAAATGCAAATCTAAATCCTTTAATCTCTTGCCCTTGCTTTTTTGATAAAAACTCCAGATCCTTAGCAGCAACTACAAGACCCTGCTTAAGACAAGTCCTGCCTCCTCCTCCAGTCTCATTCTTTGAAACTTTTGCCCCTCTCTTTCGCCACTCTGGTTTTCTTTAGTCCCTCAATACTCCAAGCTGTAGCCCACCTCAGAGCTTTGCACATGCTGTTCTCTATTCCATATTCACCCACACCTTCTCTACCTAGTTACGTCCCCTTACCTCTCCTCATATCCCAGCCAAAATGTCTCTTCCTCCTGGAAGCTTTCTTTGACCTCCAGAATAAATCAAGTTACCCTATAACCCCTTTATAATTTCCTATACTCTTCTGTCATAATGCACTCCATAGTAGTTATCACTAATACCATAGCATGACTGTTAGTCAACCTACATTCACCAAGTTACCAGAGTAATGGATGAGCTCCATTCCCTCTGTGAAACACACTATTGGCCATAGCACCCTCGTGGCAAAACGGCCACTCTTAACACACACACACACACACACACACACACACACACACACACACACACTCATACCATTTTAATTGCCTGCTTGATCCTAAGTCCATTTATGCCATTTCTACTTCCTATTGGGTAAATTCATTAAACATTACATAACTAATAAAATATGAGGACAAAAGTGTTTTTAGTGGCACTAGATTAAATGTCTTAGAAAAAATAAAGGCAAATTGTTTTTAATAACCACTAAAGTTCTCTTTACTTCATAAAATTGGGATAAAACTCAAAAAAAATCTACGCAAATTCTGCACTTAAATTCCTTGCCAAATGCCTTTAAGCTTCCCAGTCATTTTTAGTAAAAAAAAAAAAAAAAAAGCCATAGAATATATATTATGGGTGTAACTTACCCAAGAAGATGACACAGATCATCACTCAGGGGACCCATACTTAAAAGCCTTGACTATACATCAATTGATGGGCAAACTGATAAACAAGGATACACTGATGGATAAAGCACATGTTTAAAATCCTAAAATATTTAAAGTACATATCATTTCTTTAGTATTCTATATAAACAATTATGTTTATAATTTTTTAAAATCAACAGTCCAGCTAGCAGTCATAATTAAAATGAAGAAGAGAACGTTCCTCTATGCTATTTATTGACACAATTAGATGATTAACCTCCATCTTTCCCACTAGACTGGAAGCTCTGTAAGGGCAGGGACCAAATCTCTTTTGCTTACCATTGTAACCCCATTACTGAACATTTGTCACATGTGACAAAGACTTGCAATAAAAATATTTTAAATGAGTGAATGGTGATATTAGTCAAGCACAACAACATTCTTTATTTCAAATTATTAAGATCAATATGCAAATAGTTATACAGAGAATAAGAGCAAATGTGAATGTAATCACCTGAAAATTTCAAGGCACAGTACTTCAAGATAACATATGTCCTCTACTCAATAATGGAAAGATCATTCTTGTGTATATTTTTTAAAAATCTTAATTTTTTTAATTATTTTTTTTTAAAGCACTCTCTAGCACAGGGAAGTTTCTGCTTTTTAATTTATGAACTACACTTAAGATTATGTAGTTAGGTTTCCTTAGGTATCTAACCATGATTACCATATCATTATTAAGACTTCTGTATACTAGTTCCAAATCTGGCTACCATTTAATTTTATCTGGGTGCCTGGGTGGCTCAGTCGGTTAATTTTATCTGTAATGCAAAGTAATAGTAATGCTACCTGAA